TCTAGTACCATAGTTCAGGATACAATTTTAAAGAGCACTGGAATTGGTAAAAGTTTTACTCCAGTTTTCCATGGGGAAAGTTTTAAAGGAAAAAAATAAACCACATCCCTAAAGTTTTCAGAGAGGAGCTTTAAAATTCCACTTAGGTCTCTACAGGCCGTGAATTTACTATAAAACAATAGCTCAGCCTTTAATGAACAGACTGCACAACGCATTTCTAGTCAGAACAGAGCCTATTTGCTAAACTAATAAAAAAAGATAAAAATCAAGGATTTCCAATGCCAACAGTAGAAGTGAGAAATATTCATGCTGCAAAGAGCTTGTTTCACAATACTTATGTTGCAGCCCTCAAGGATAGTGTTTATTTCTATGATAATCACAGTTACACTTGGCTGCATTGTTCATTCTTTTGTTTTGTTTTGCCTAGCTAACAAACATCTGTTCCAACACTGACAGAAAAATCACAGCTTTTCACTATCTGCATGCCTAGGCCTCAGGATTTAAAGGATTTCCAATCACACAGTTACAAGGAAGTTATCTAGGAAGCCTGAGATTCAGATGCACAAATGTGTCTTCTCTTTATATACAAAGCTTACCTTTCTACTCTCCCACCACACAATATGTGTGGCAGTGCTTCCAGCTCCAACCTTCCTCTTCACTAATGCTTCCTTACTAAAGTATAAGAGAAACAGGTATACTGGAGATGTAAGAACAGGAAGTCTTACCAAAAAAAGGTACATTTCCCATTAAAATGAAATACATGGAGAGAAGCCTATGCACCTGAATCTTCTGGGTCTTCTTCCTTTTGAATATATCAGTAATTTAATAAAATACTGCTTCTCAGATTATTTAATAAAATGTTATTTCTCCATGAGATTTTTACTTCATTTTTTTATTATAAATATTGTATTGCCTTCTTGTTAGAGATGGCCCATGAGAAGTTTGCAGAAACAAAGTACCTCCTTAAAAATCTTCTCCTCTTCATCATATAAGACTAGGATTTGCTAAGAACAAAGACTCGCTTACCCCATGTTCTGTCTCTCACAGCAACTCATTGCAGATGCCTACAGAAGAGTCTGAGTGGTGCAGCCAGACCCACAGTTCTAAGATAAACTCTATCAAATTCTAGCGATGCACAGATCAATATATTTTCAAAGACAGCAGTAGCATCTTAGCCTACAGCAGTCCTCAATGGCCCCATGCCTCCCATCATGATTTTATCCCGTTGTGGTTTTTTTGAGTATGTAAACTTTTAACATCTACGATGCCTTAAGGCAATATATTACACAGTGCGAATATACCACAAGAAGAAATAGCTCTTATTTCTCTGAAACATGCTGATTTAATTTGATTTCCTCGTACTGGGTGAGGTAGCAGTCACTTTCCTAGTGCCACTTAGGATTTTCTGCAAGACCAGCTTGTCCCCACCCAAGTGATGTCTCCTTTGGGATGAGAGTCCCAATCTATTTAGTAATTTGGAAACTATTTTACTTCTTCAGACATTTCTGTTGCTTTTTTCTGTACCTTCTCTACAAATGACTGCAACAGTCAGCAGACTTTTCAGGACGAGTGCTGCAGTATTACCAGTGGCTTATGCTTCAAGTTCTAGATAGCGGAGGCATTAGCACAACCACATGGAGACATTCATGGCACGTAACCATGAATGCATGCACTACACCAGGCATTGGGTGCAAACAGATATCGTGCAACCCTTAATAAATTTGCACCTGCTTGATTTAAAAATTATTAAATTAAGAGTTCTACGTGCCCCTGGGGGATTTTGTTTTGTTTAAAAGCCAGGAGGTATTTGTCAGAAAGCATTTACACACTCCAAAAAATAACTATAAAGATACACTGCAGGCTGCTTGAGTGCAAGAACTGAGTCGATACATTCATCTTGCAATGCTTTTAACAGAGCGGCTAGAAGCTGAACCTGTCTCAGGAAAATGCATCTGGAGCTAGAAGTGTGAAACATTTCTGAGAACACAACAACAGATAATCCTTCAGCTTTTTGGTGTTGTTATAGCTTCGGTACAAGAAATGTTAAAGCGCTTCCCTTCACAGCCTGTCATAAAGTCCAACTTTCTATTCATTATCCTAAGCCTAAACTTGAAAGGCTGTACTGAAATTGCCATGTACTGTAAATACAATGTACTGAGCAGACAATTTACACAGGCAAGCCTGCACTTCTCTTCTTGGAAGCTTATTCCAACACACAAGAAGCGTGTTGATTAAAAAATTAAGAGTTTGTCAATATAACTGCTCTACACTAGTGGCTTTTCACAGCACAGCATGCTAACACAAATCCTATTTTATCACAACCAACATATGCTGTAAATAGCCAAGAGTTATAAGGTAACTTTGAAGTTTCAGTATGATTAATAACCTAAAGTAGGAAGCTGTTATACTTCGATCCGGTTGAATATATCAAGTTGAAACATAACTGGTACTCACTCAGTCCAGCAGCTCAAGAATGTCTGCTGGACTAACTCACCATTTGCATCATCATTTCCAGCCCTGACCCCATCAGCTGTTGTGGTTAATGTAATACTCGTGGGCCAAGTACTAAGATCATCATGAACATCTGCAGACGTGAGCCTTTCTATTACTGTAGGGTCTGGAGTCCACTGGGTTATGTACGATACTTAACCATGGCCAAGACAGACCTTGTGCAATGATCATTTAGTCAAATAACAGGACAAAATGTGGGAAAACCAAATACTAGCATACCCATTTTCCACAGTACTGTCTTCAAATTTATACTGTTCCTTAAGAGCCTGAAATATGTAATATAAGAATTTCAATTAGTGCTTTTGGAGCTAAGTCTCTTAAGAGGAGATCTAAAGGTTAAAAGTAATATTTGCAGGATTAACTATACTGATAAAAGTCTTCTGTAAATACTGCTGCTAAGTTAACTGGGCTCATCCTCCTGGCAGAAGCCCCAGGAAAGGAAAGGCTTCCCCAACCCTACCACAAAACTATTCTGAGAGTACGACCACTTGATATTGGTTACTTGCTTCTCGTAAAGTTGAATTTACAACTGATTCAGGGGCCCCAAAACAAACAGTTACAAGAGTTTAAAAATATTACTACTTCTTACAGTCCTACCCTAGACTCAAAAGACAACCCTGCAGGAGTGGCTGAAAAGACCACTTAACCACATCACATAAGTGAGGAGGGCTACATTAGCCAACAAACAAGAGACTGCACTAAAATATGATGGTTTGAACTGTGCTGTACATACAAAGTGTACTTGGACTAAGGCTTGGCACTGGATAACAAGATTTTTCAAAGACGTAGAGAGTCTCCACGAACAAGAGGATCATTCAGACTATCTGCAGATAATAGTGTTGGAATTTCTTTTGCGTTGCTACAGACTGGTGTTATCAGAGCTTGCTCTTTCAGCCCAGTTTCTCCTTGATCCCGCAGCAATGTTTACCCTAAGCATTACCATGGGAAAAGCGAGGTCATGAATTCAGCACCACATTTGCACTAAATGATAGAGACCAAAGGAAATGTGAAGCTAGGGGAAAAAAACCTTGAGTTTTAACAGAAAGAGCCTGGCTAAGTACTCTATTCTTAAGATAGATGTAGGGAGTGTAGCTGGATTACATCAGACCCTGAAACCTGTTTTATAAAAGGAACTCTATATAAATCTGCAACTCCTTTCCAATGCTACCATAACTTCAAAATAAGAAGTTGTCTGCACTGAATGATACCTTTTGGAATAAATGTTTTACTGAGCCTGTTCTGAGGAACAAGGGGAGCCAACTGTTTTTCCATTTTCTTTACCCTAAACATATCCTCATACACTTTACATTGTTGGATACCAACAAGTCACTCTTGGTGCACCTCCTGGTCCAGTATATGCTGGTTTCCAGAAGACTGTGACTTTTGATTTCTCCAGAGCCACCTTTCACATGATGCACCACCAATAGAGGAACCCCAGCACAGGATGGGATTTGGGAGCTTGACAAGCTCCTCATACAACATCCTTGAGGACTTTGTATGGAGCCATCAAACCCTGTCTATCCTGCTATCCTGTTAGTGTCTTCAGCCTAAATCACTGCACATTTCTGACACCGATTTTCATTGCCCAATTTGGTCTGCCAATTTGCATGAGCATGCTCTTTCTCAACAGGCCTCCTGCCCAGTCAGAGCACACCATCTTCCTCAAAAGTCCCTTCCTGTCCATTCTAAAATAGCAATTTTAAGCACTGTTCAAGATTCAAGTTTTCTGAACTACAGCAGATGTGCTAAGCAACTACAGATGGCTTTGGCCATGCTAGAAGAGTAAGCTCTTCATACTGTTCTGGTTTTTTTCTTCTTCTCTCAATAGTAGATTGTTTAACTGGATAGAGAATGTTTAGCAATTTAAGTGTCTCATTCATGGTAAGAGTATGAGAGAGGTTAATATATTACAATACTGAAGACTCCACAAGAAACAGTAACACTAGGGCTGTATTGCTGTAGTTAATAATAGACTTAGATTTACAACACGGCTCACATATTTCACCAGCTTGACTCAGTAAAGGCAGACCTCACCTTACATACCCTCAGCCACCTAAAAGTCTACTGTCCAGCCTAAATCAGATGTGCATTTCTAAACCTCCAAGGAGGGATTCACCCACTACACCATGAAGCAGCAGAGCAGCATTTGGATCCACAAACCTCCACTAACTACAGAAAAAGAAAATAAAAAGAACAAAACCAAACCAAACCTCAAAGGTACTGTTAGGCAAGGTATCCAAGCTCAGGACAGGTAAAACATTACCTGTCAATGAAATGAAGTTAATCCTACCATTGATGGTGAAATAGAGTACTCTGATAATACAGAGAACCTATGGTTTCACAGTTTAAGCACTAGAAAGATTATATAAATGTCTGTAAGTCACTGAACTGACAAAGATGCACAACAGAAGCTGAAGGAGCAGTTTTATTGTAAGTAACTGAAAAACTGGTAAGTTTCATACAATTCCTTGTAGAGTTCGGGGACTTGAAAAAGCAACCTGGGTACAGTTTGGTTTTTGGCAGAACTTACTTCTGACAAAGTAGCCCTTAAGTTTACCTCTCCCAAGGAGCACAGCAGTTTCCACTCTCACCGTCTGAAAGAGGAAAGACTTTTCTCTCCCTGACTTGCAAAAAATTAAAAAGGGTAAATCCTTTTTCTTAGTTAACTAGAAAAAGCTGTTTTCTTGCTCAAAGCAAGTCTCCAGTCACTGTCTCCTTACCATCCTTCTTGTCCTATGTTCTGCATGCACTGGTCGCATATGTCCAGTATACCTGTGTGCAAGTTACCTTAAAATTATCCCCCCTGAAACCGTGATAACACTAAACCAGAATGAGTTTCAGTCTCAAATGGAAAGCGCACTTGAGTTCACGCTCTGCTCTTCAACACCAGAATAAAAAAAGTGGAGACAGACTTTGCATCTTTGCGACTTCTAACCCAAGAAGCAACTGAAAGTTTTTTACGTTTAAAAAAACGAAAGCCAGGTTTCTCACTTGGGTATCCCTGCTTCTCTCAAGGAGGGGACGCGCTGGTTTAACACCCGCTTTTGATTCCTGCTCACCCCCCCACCGGGACGGACAGACGGACACTCACTCTCCGAGTCGCTGAGGCC